CCGGTCCGTGAATTAATTAATCCAATTAATTAATTCGAAAATTATAAATAACAAATCCAATTAATTAATTTATCCAACGATTGTTAAATTAATCAATTGGCAATTTGCAATCTTCCAATTCTCTTTTGTGTGTGACCCATTAGGTTCCCGACCACGATGCCTAACGACGTGAAATATTATTTTGATCTAATCAAAATTGATAAATTAAAACACCCCTTTTAATTTATCGTCAATTCACATACGCCGTCCCTGATTGACATCTAGCAATGTGTCAGGGCAATACATGTGACGGGAAATGTCACGTGGTATGACAAAACCAAATTCGTTCGTTTACCGTGAAACTATAATCCCTTCGTCAATATGATCTGATCAATTACGAGATATGGATTTGTGTCAATCTCGATCATCGATCATATCTTTCACTCCACTATTAAGTCAATATAAATCGAAAACTCCTTTTCGACTTATGTGTACACCTTGGCCAAGGATTTGATCATTGACTTAATTGAATGAAACGCAGATCATAATCTCCTACTATCTAAGAGTGACGAATCCTTTATTGATCAATCACAACCTTCATACGATTCTTGACGTACCCGAACAATGTCGTATTAGCGGCCCTTTTCAGAGCAACATCCAACACCGCCAAAGTATGACTGTCCTCATATAAGGTACCATGACGACCTCAAGTCAAAGGACCAATTTCACTACCGAACGTTAGAGATTAACCACCGACACTCAGATAGTTATCCATGTGGAATCTCTCGACGGGTCTCCAATGTTTTGTTCTATAACAAACATCTACGTGTTCATTTAAGTGTCACTACACTTTAACTTGTGAGATCAGCAACTTACTTCACAAGTAAGAAATGCCACACGTGATGGTCCATCCGTAATAACGATATCCGTATCTCGTTATTACTTACGACCACGGATGATTTAAGATTCAATCAGATGTAATTTGTATCTCACAATCACAACTCCTTGTGATTAATAAATTACAAATATTTGAATCCACGGACTCTATTATTTATTTAATTGTCTATTAATTAAATAATAGATCTGCCATTTAATTGCATTAATTATATATAAAAATATTTATGTCCAAAGTCGATTGGACCTAGGGCATAATACTTACACATCCTATGATGGATAGTCAATCTATATTATTGGGGAAACGGTAGAGGAAATGCTAAACCCCCTAGCTATAGAGGGTTCACAAGGAGTCCACAGCCAAGGTGGCGGGCTTGCTTAATAATACGTTGATCGGCTATCAGAGATATCACTCATCTGTTAGTCAACTAGCTTAGAAGTTTGTTTGAGTGACCATTTTCAGTATACAACCTTTGCAACCACCATGGTATCACAAGACACTACATCCTATTTTTGTTCCATATTTTAAGGAGCATAGCAAAGTAAGTCTCCATATACATGGGTTGGATCCCACAAGTATAAGTCTTCACCAACCCTTTAAGCATTATAAATCCACTCCTATTTTGCTGGTGTTGCAGCCATCTAGCAACACCATGATAGGAAAGTTCATACCTGAATCACCAACCTTATTAGATCTCTGATCTCTCATATCGTTAAGATAATTATTAGTTCTCCGTATTCTTAACTATTTCTGCCCAAGAACTATTGGTCTATTAAATATTTTATATTATATTCAATGACAATCAAAAAGACCAACATAAACTATAGGTGTAACTATGACTGTGTGGCTTAATCTAGTCAAGAAATCAAGTATGCGTACTAGAACTAATAATATTACTTTGCTATTTAAAACATCATATTATAAATATTATAGTTTTTCTAATAATAGCCGTAAAACTAATAAAAGGAACTGAATTTAAAAAAAATATTCATATATCAAAAAGAAATAGTGTTAGTGCATTTCTAGATATATAAAGGAACATCATCAAAGTGTCAACACATGAATTTGTTCTTCCTCAAATTTTCTCTATTTTCTAATTATGATATGAGCAAAGTTTGATACGAGATTCCCACATCCCAAGTGGCTAGTGTATGAAGTGCCAGTAATTTATGCTGTTTTGATTAGGAATCTTGAGCTGTTTCATTTGAACCTTTGCAAAGCTATAAATCCAGAACCTTTTTATTTTATTTATTTTTATTTTTATTTATTTATTTTTTTGGTCTATTCTAAGCAAAAATTCACTTTTGGTTAAACTTACACTTAAAAGTCTGTGATAGGGTACACGAGAATACTTAAAAATAAAATAATTTGCGTTTATTTTATGCAAACTTCACTTTTGGTCTAAGTTATACTTAAATATATGGAGGGATATAAGAGAATACTTTAAAGTATTATGCTAATTTTTAATTGGCATCTATTCTAAGCCTAAATTCTTTGGTAAGGTAAATGAGAATGCTTTAAAATGAAATGCTAATTCCAAATGCCCCCACTATTGAATTTCTAATTCTTCACTTTGCATTTTTTAATTGCTTTTAATTAACAAATTTATGTCTTTAATTTCTTGAGTACCTGATTCTTATAAATATCTAAGAACATCTTTAATCTTTATGGATTTCTCCTGTCTCCTTAATGCGATACAAGGTTTCAATGCGAAGGGAATCATCAAATAATTGCATTCCTGCCATTTCTTCTGACTTGATGATGTTTATAAATACTGCACCATCAATATGCTACCGTAACTTGCAAACTAGAAAATTGAATAAAAAGACGTGAAATGGCCGATGTGGTAATTTCTTTTGCAGTAGAAATCATTATACCAACACTACGTGAAAAGCTGAGAGAGGTCGGAGGAGTTGAGACCGACGTGGAGAACATCAGAGATGAGTTGGATCGAATGACGGCATTTCTCAAAGATGCCGATAGTGCAATGGATAACTGTGACACGGGGATGATAAATTGGGTCAACCAAGTTCGCGATGTTGCACATGACATTGAAGATGTTCTCGACAAAATTGTACTCGGCTTGAAGAAGAATCATCAGGGCAGTGTGTGGTCCAATACCTTTCTTTATAATTTTTTAAATTGCATTGTAAATTTAAGATTCAGTTCTAGGATTGTTTCTGAAATACAAAGCATTAATACGCGTGTCATCAGTATTGCAGAAGGGCGACGGAGATATTTTGACACTGCAGGAAGTTCAAATTCAAAATCAAATGTTGACACCAGCTTTGACCTTGCATATGATATTAGAGGTGATGCCCTTTTGGAAGAAGAAGTTAATCTTGTGGGAATTGAGGGCCCCAAAAGCGAGTTGATGAGATTACTCTGGGAAAAAGGTTCCGCACTGAGTGTAATTTCAGTGGAAGGACAAGGAGGTGTGGGCAAATCAGCTCTTGTTAGGAAAGTATATGATGATGCAGCAGTGAAGAAGCAATTCAAAAGTCACGCTTGGATAATTGTCCCTCGGTTATTCGATATAGAGGATATCCTAAAGGACTTGATTCAGCAACTCTTTCGTGAAACCAGGGAAGCATTCCCTGAAGAAATGAACGCCATGAATAATATTCGGCTGAAGGAACTAATTAAACTATTCTTACGAGAAAAAAGGTATGTGATCGTTTTTGATGATGTACGGGACATCCAATCTTGGAAGGCTATTAAACATGCGTTTCCTGACGATTCTTGTGGCAGTCGATTAATTGTAACAACACGTAATACTGATGTAGCTTTCTATTCTTGTAAACGAAATAAGGAGAATGTATATACTTTGAAGCCCCTTCCTCCAGAGCATTCTTTGACACTATTTTGTCAAAAGACGTTTCGAGGGAGTCCGTGTCCTTCCCATCTGGAGGAAATTACTAATAATATCTTAAAGAGATGTGCAGGGCTGCCGATTGCCATCAAGTCTGTTGGTGGAATTCTGGCCTCAAAGAGCCGCAGATTGGAAGAATGGGAGATGGTTTATAAGAGCCTTGGAGCTGAACTGGAAAGAGAAAATGGGAATTTGAATATGATCTTGTTGCTTAGCTTCAATGATTTGCCTTACCATCTAAAATACTGTTTGTTATATATGGCCATATATCCAGAATATCACTTGATAAAGTGTGACTCCTTGATTCGCCTATGGATAATGGAAGGTTTTGTGAACGAAGAAAAAGAAGGATGGACAGTGGAACAAGTTGCTCAAGACTACCTAAAGGAGCTTGCCAAAAAAAACTTGGTCGAAGTGGTGAAGGCTAAAGAGAATGGAAGCATAAAATCTTGCCGCATAAATTACTTTATCAGGGAGAATCTTCTGAATAAAGCAAAACGTCAAAATTTTTTTATGACAGTCGGCAAAAATTCCAATGGTCAATGGAACAGCAAAGCTCGTCGCTTATCAATCAATGGCCGTTGGGAAAACTTTAATCCTCAAATGTCTGGTAAAAAACTCCGTTCTTTGCTTGCATTTGATGTGACTGATTCGTCATCAATACTTGAGCTACTTAAGAGTTGTATGATGCTTAAAGTTTTAGACCTGTCAGGATTACCTCTAAAATCATTCCCAAAGGTGATCACCGAGCTCCTACTTTTGAAATATCTATCTTTGAGGCATACAGAAATTGAATCACTTCCAAGGTCAATCAAGAAGCTTCAAGAACTAGAGACGTTAGATCTTAAACATTCACTTGTCACTGAGTTGCCCGTTGAGATCTTACAACTCCGAAAACTGAGACATCTCATAATATGTCGCTATGGATGCTGTGATGTACATTCAGATGTTCAGATCAACAACGTTCTTGGTTTCAAGCTACCAAATGGAATTGGATCTCTAAAGTCTTTATACGAACTCTCTTTAGTCGAGGCAATCCCCGGCACAATAATAGAGATAGGGAACATAAAGGAACTAAGAAGGCTTTTCATATTCAAATTGGGAAGAGAGGATGGAATGGTGGTCTGTTCATCCATTGAAAAGCTCCAAAATCTTCAATCGTTAGCCTTGTTTTCAAAGGCAGAAAATGAGATCCTTGACCTGGATCACATTTCATCCCCTCCTGCATCCCTTCAGGAGCTCTCTATGTCAGGACGTTTAGAAAAATTTCCGCATTGGATAAAATCTCTCAACAACTTGGTTAAACTTTATTTTAGGTGGAGTCGGTTAAGAGATGATCCACTCCAATATCTCCAAGATTTGCCAAGCTTAGTCCGTCTTGAACTTCATGATGGATACGTTGGTGAAGAACTATGTTTCAAGGCGGGAAAGTTTCAAAGTCTTAAAAGGTTATATCTTGACAAGTTGAAGCCTCTGAAACAGGTGGTAATTGAGGAGGGAGCAATGCCAAATCTGAAAAGAATGAAGATTCAGCGGTGCAAATATCTGGAAAGTGTTCCATGTGGAATTGAACGCCTTACCAAGATGAAAGTTCTTAAACTTTTCTACATGAGCCAACAGTTTATTGAGAAATTGACTGCTGAATATTCCCATAAAATTGCACACATTCCTAAATTACAGTTTTGGGAAAAAGATGCATTGGAAACAGATGAAGATTGAGTTTTTAATTATCTTTGCGTTAGTATTTTATTCAGATTTTAATTTTCTTTATTTCGGAATAATTCTGAACATTAGGAATTTTAATTTCGCCCCTACCTTTAAATTTTCATAATTATCTAGATTTAGCGTTGATCAAAATAAAGGTTGTAAGCTTTAATTGCAAGTAGTGGTTTTCGAATAAATATTATAGCGATTGAAAATTTTTAATCTCTTAAATTCTTGGTATTTGATGCTTAAAATCAATGAGTCCAGTTTCTCCGTATTCATGCACAAATCAGAGAGTTTTGATGCCTAAATTTCTAGCATTGTTAGGAATCAATAGAAATTAGAAGCTGATTTTGTTGCAATAATTATTTGAAATCAGCGAAACTTGTTGCTTCCGCCCTACATCATAAACTCATACATTAGAGACCAAGCATGAAATTAGTACCCATAATCGGCTTCTAATGAAACTCATCCAATTTATTTTAACTTAGAATCAATTGTAGAACGGACTCTAGTTCATCAAAACACTGCACAATATACTACAATGGCTAAATATGTGATTGAGAATGTGTATTTGCGATGTTGAAATAAAGTGTACTTCAGTTATAGTTTTGCGTAGAGATTTAATTACTTTGGCAATTTTTTTCACAATTTTTGTTATTCTTCAATAATGCATCTCTAGCTATGTTCTTCTTATTTAACTAATATTTGTTATACAAAGATAAATTTTATTAAAATGCAATAAAGGATCTTTAACTTGTATTCCATTTTGATGCTCAACCTCCAAAACGGAGCATCTAAGTTTAGTATTTTTGTGGACCAGGCTCAAGCATACTCAACTGAACTTGTAATCATAAATTTTAATGCAAATAATGTCTTTATTAACGCATATTTGACAAGATGATCCATTCTCTAAAAGATGAGTTGATTTAAAATGTTTTGGATTTTATTGTTCATTTGTTAGATTTTGCTGTAATTAATCAATGTGTATTGTCTCCATCATCGTGTGGTATGAGTTCTACCATGTCACATTATCTTCCCACTCACTTGAACACCGACTTACTTGACGAGTTAGGGAAACCTACAAAGGTTAATTCTAAAGGACTAACTAACTTCATACTAGATGTGATAGGAGAATTCAAAGATATGCTCTAAGATTGATGCATCAGTATTTGATCATGGTGATGTGATGAAACTTGTTGCTTGTACTCTATTTGGGTCTCAAGGTATAAATTTCCAGTTGTTGTTAAATGGAAAGGCGACACCAACGTGTTTCTCTTGGGTAATCAATCCCAGCTAAATCACAATTCGGGAAGCTTTCTGAGAAGACTACTCAAGTAGTTGTATATAATTGTGGAAAAGAGAGCCAAATTTATTTGGATGGTTATGCATCAGTGGACTCCCCGAATGTATTGTTTTCGTTGCGAAGAATTGGGTGAAGGGTGATCCAAGATTCGAGGACGTATCTATTGGAAAATTATATTCGTGTTTTCTCCCATGAGAATATTGAAATCATATATTTACTTGTCAAAAAATGATGTTTGGGTGAATAAAAAATTTGAGTTCTAATTGGACCCAATTGGACGATGTGTTGGAGAAAAAACTATCATAGTTTGTTCTAAATAGGAAAAATAAATAAGGCAAAGACTAATTTATATATGGTTACATTAATTATAAACAATGTACAGACTTTCTTTATATGCATGGGCTAGGAGATGCAAATCAAGAACTGGATTACCACCTCTCTTCATTAAAATTGTGTGTGAGCGCGACCTATATGTTAAGACTTAAGGTTCTATCTTAAAATGTTAACCTTGTTAAAAGAAGTATCCCAATACATTATAAGTTGGTTTATATTTTTATCTTTATTCGATGTGGAATTATATCCTTAACATGCCCCCGCAAGATGTTGGCTCGTTTGAGCAGACCAATCTTGAAATTCGTTTGCTCATTTATTGAGTCTTAATCAGATTGAATCGTTCATTTGAACTTAAAGAGCTTTAATACCATGTTAAGATTTGGAGTTCCATTTTAGAAGGTCAACCTTGTTAAGAGGAATAGCCCAATGCCTCATAAGTTGGTCTATATTTTCATCTTTATTCGATATGAGATTATATCATTTTACACTATATACATGAATTTTGAACCTTTGGTTGACCCTTAAGAAAGGCCCACATTTTGCCTTTAATTCTATATTTGTTTTTAATTTTTCTCCAACTAAATTTTCAACTTCTAAAACTCTTTTATTTAATGGTCTATGTTAATGGAGAAGTTACATAGTCAGGTTCATGGTGATGTGTTAATAATAGTAACGCACATAACAATTGAGCAGTTAAGCAACTTATTCTTAGAACCTATAACATCAATAGAATTTTTTCACTGACAAAATTTCCTTCTTTGTCTTCTATTTTTTGTGTACCAAATATTTTCTAGTCTATATCCCTAAATTCTCGAGAGAGATATTCACCACCTTAATCTAATCATGTCTTAATACTCTTACCTAAATGTTTCTCGACATTGGTCTGTTACTTTTTGAATTTTTTAAAAGCATCTGATTTTCGAGCCATTAGGTAGATGAATTCAAATTTAGAATAATTATCTATAAAGGCGATAAAATACTCATAGCCCCTTCTTGCAGGTGTATTCACAGGTTCATATACATCAGAATGAATTAGTTATAATACTTCTTTAGCTCTTTCTCCTTTTGCTAAAAAGGGTCTCTTTGTCATTTTACCTTCAAAACAAGAATCACAAACTGATAATGGTTCAATCTTAAGTGTGTTCAATGGACCATCTATAGCCAATCGTTGTATCTTGTTAAGGTTAATATGACGAAATCTAAGATGTCATAGATATGTGTTACTAGTATGGTATGACTTTTTTTTATGGTTTGCAGAAGTAACTGTTTATTTTATTTGTGGAACAATTTAAAATATAAAAGCCATTCACCAAATATTCAGCACAAATAAGAACTTCGTTCTTTAAAATATAAAGCACATCATGTGCAGAATTTACAGAATAACATTGTCCTATTGTCAGTCAAATTCCACTTCATTCGCGGGACATAATAACAGTCTCTAAGAACTAAATATCACTGCTACTGAAACAAAAGTAAATTACTCTTATAATTCTCATTGAAACTATAGATCCTGTGTCGATGATAATTTTAAATTGGCCCTCATTAAGTCTTTTGCTCTCTTGAATCACATGTATAAACATACATATATAATTAGTGGTTCCAGAGTCTACAACTTAGGAATTTGTAGAATTAACCACTAAATATGTCTCAACAATACAAAAATCACCAGCACCCTGCTTTTTAGCCAATGCATCATAAGAGTCTTTCTTTTAGTGTCATTTGTGACCACAGTGGAAACAATTGCCTCTCGGCATTCCATCTAATTTGGGCTTTTTGTTGCTACTTGACTTCTTGTTAGGTATCTTCCCATTTTTTCCAACTCTGCCTTTTTGCTTGGAACTAGAGGAGCTAGCAATTGCTGAATGAGCGTGGCTACCTTTATCATTAAGACTAGTTCCACATTTTACAACTCATTCATCAACTTAATCAATGCTAATTCATCTTGGGGTATAAGGAGGGCGTGCTACCGGTACGTTATCTTGGTGTTCCGCTTATCTCTACCAAATTGAGGGCTTTGGATTGTAAGATGTTGGTGGATCGTATTATAGCTAGGGCTAAGAGTTGGACCTGTCGAGCGCTCTCCTATGCAGGGAGGTTACAACTTATTAAGTCGGTGTTATTTTCTATTCAGGTCTACTGGTCCTCTGTATTTCTTTTACATAAGGCTGTGATCAAGCAAGTGGAAAATTCATTGCGGGCCTTCTTGTGGAAGGGTAGTGACCTTGGTACCGGTGGGGCTAAAGTGGCTTGGGCAAAAATCTGTATGCCTAAGGAGGAGGGTGGTTTGGGTCTGTGGGGCTTGGAGATTTGGAATAAGGCTGCCATGTTAAAGCATCTTTGGTCCTTTTGTATGGATTCTGCCTCCTCTCTTTGGGTTTCGTGGACAAGATTTATTTACTTAGAGGATGGAGCATTTGGGAATTGAAATGTCCTGGGGATTGCTCTTGGAATTGGAGGAAAATTCTTGGACTCCGGGATATAGGGAGGGACAAAATGAAATTCAAAATTGGGAATGGTAGAAGTGCCTCACTTTGGTTTGATAATTGGCATCCTCTTGGCCCTTTAGAAAAGATTCTTGGAGAGAGGTTCATTCGTGAATCCAGATTGAGTAGACCTGCTAAGGTGGCTGATATTGTTGAGGGTGATACTTGGAGATGGCCATCAGTTCGCTCCCCAGCTTTGTCTGATTTGATGCGAGCTATGCTTGATACTTTTCGGCCGGACAGTAATAGAGAGGATGTATTGCGATGGGAGGATGATGTACATGGAGTCTTCTCTGTTCGGAGTGCTTGGGAGTCTCTTCGACTGCGCTACCCTAGGGTGACTTGGTATCACATTGTATGGTTCCCTAAATGTATTCCAAGACATGCATTTATCCTTTGGTTAGCAATTCAAGGTGGCATCTATACACAAACAAAGTTTCTTAGCTTTGGTTTGATTCAATCTATGCGTTGTGTGCTATGTGGATGTTCAGTGTAGGATTTGGATCATCTTTTCTTTGCATGCCCATTTTCTGAGCGTGTTTGGAATGCTCTGCATGTGAAATGTAACTTGCCATGGGTTCAATGGAGTTGGCTTGATTCTCTCTCTTGGATGGAACAATTTCGTGGGAGGTCATTGTCCTCTATCGTTATCCGGTTAATGTTTGCGGCTTCGATTTATGCTATTTGGCGTGAACGTAATGCTAGGATCCATGGGAGGCTCCTAAAAATGAGTCTATTGTTATTCAAGATATTGTTTTTACTATTTGTGCACGAGTGAACTTGTACAGTAGCTTGGTTCCATCTAGTGAAAATAGATGGCTCCAACGCTCTTGGGGATTTTTTACAGATATTTTTTGTTCTCGTGATTAGGATATGAGCACTTTCTTGAATTTTGCTATTGTTGTTAGGAAGACATTAATTCCTAGCATTGTTTTATGGGGTTTGCCCCTGTGATTTGTACTTATTTTTATACTTTGGATATAATGCACTTACCTTATCCAAAAAAAAACATATCAATTTGTGTTTCTTGATCAATGGTTACACCCAGCTTCTTCGTCACGTTGAAATATGCAATCATAGTTAGCATATAATTCTTCATAGGTGTTCTGATTTTCATGCTGATAATTTGTAAGTTATGAACAACCTTAAAACGAGCCGTCCTACTTTGGTGTCCAAACATGCCCTTCAAGCGTTCTTGTATGCCATAATAGGTCACCTGATATTCAAGCTTTTGTTATAACACATTTGACTTTGATGCCAAAATGTAACGATGCTCCATCTTGTCTGTTATGATCCATTTATCATATGCAACCCTCTTGGACTTGCCTATTGGCTTACTAGGTTCCTCAGGACATTTGTCTTGAAAAACATAATCAAGTTTTTAGGCAATAAGCACAAACATCAAATATGTTTTATTTTAGAAAAAAAGATGTGCTTGGAGACATTTTGCTGAAAAATAAACATTCACTGTATATTAAAACTGTGCAACAAATAAAAATTTAGCATATGATGTGTGAATGCATATGTAGATCAATCTAATTACAATAATGCAACGACAACTTACTCCTTGTGATTCAACAAGCCCCTCCATTGGGAAAGGTCACGATATCCACTAGTAAAACTGAGATCATCCCACTAGATAAATTATACCTAACAACAAATGTCTATATTAAGTCTAAAATCATTTTGTTTGGTCACCAAAATCATAAACGAGAGTATCTATTGGAGGTTTGTAGATAATTTTTGATTTGAGTTATAACCTTTGTCTAGATCTTTAGATACCTTAACTTAATTTTGTCATCTATAGGGTATTACAAATTATATTCTGTCTAGACGATATTACCATGAAGGAATTCAATCAAGCAATTCGAATTATGTGGCCTTCTTATAAGAAGTATGTTGCATTATCGATAAGAGAAAATTGTGTTCTTTTGCTTATGGATTGATCAAAGGAGACTATATTTTCATTTAAATAAACACCCCATCTTATTCAATAATTTAATATAATGAATTTTAATTTTAAATAATTATTAGTTGTTCACATTAATCAGATTAACATACAATTTCATTATTACTATTTTTTCATTCAAAAAAGTTTAATCTAAATTAAATTAATCGAGAAAAAAATTATGTTCAATGATATGTATCAAGACCAAACTTTGGTAATATATAAGATCACAGAAATCAATAAATCTATAATACTTTCCTCTCACCCGTCGTATATGTATTTTATCCCCGTGTTAGATTCGATAATTTGGTACGTGTATAAATGATCGTTTTGCTATTCTAATTATTTTCACTAATTTAAGAATCATTTTCTTCAACAATCAAATGAACCAATTACAAATGTCAAAATTTAGCCGTCACAAAATACTGAGCTTAAATTTTAACCACTCAACGGAAAGATTTAAGTTGTCCCTCTATCCAATCTTCAAGGTGACGGTTCTCACCACGACTTCATGTTCTCTATTTCGCACACTCTTAAGCTCCCAATTTACCTTGATATTTGATCAATTAAATTGAAATCACCCATTGGTGAGTCAAAGAACTATTAAAGTCACGAAAAAGTATATATAACCATATCAATGGATTTACATGAAATCACGACGATCAAATGAAATTTAATTCTCTGCATGATCATGCTATAAAACTAAATTCGACACATAGCCTGTTCAATAAACTTTAAGTGTACTAGTGTCACCTTTAATTATTTACGGGATAAGAACAAATCATAATCTCAAATAGTGAATTGATCAACACTACAACCTTCTAGTACAAAGTGCCAACCTTGTATAAGTTGTGTCATATTGTACTTCTCAATACAAGTAACAAATTTATATTATCATAAATACTTTAATTAGCATGTTTAATAATAAATAAATGAAATAATCACAATTTTATTTATATAAGAATATTGTTATTTTTTACACAAACAAAACTATACTGTATGGGCACACAACCAACAAGATGATAATGGTAGGTGCAGGTCGGGCCTGTTAAAGTTTTTGTTGGGCTGGAATTTGTTAGGTTAGATCTGTTGTAATGGAGGTGTGTGTATAGAGCTGTTTGGTTTGTGGGCATCGATTTTGTTGGGTAAATATGGGATGTGGTTAATGGGCTGGGATTATATTAGGTTAATTACGGGCTTGGCTGAAAATCTGTTTTGATTTGTAGCGGTAACAAGTAATGCAGTAATTCTGTAATTGAATTTCTGGAATTTCTTTTTGAAAGAACTAGAAATGATAAACTGCAATTTAATATAAAGAATTAGTTTTTAATGTCATATTATGCTTATCATATGATGGATAGTCAATCTATATTTGTGGGAGAAACAGTAGAGGAAATCCTAATTTTATGATAACTCAAATTCCTTAGTTGAAATTCACAAGGACCCAAATTCTTAAACTGTACTTAATGAAATTTTTGGTGCAAGGCTAGTCCTGGAGGGGGCTTCTTGCCCCCCTTCCAAGCCCACGACGACATCACTGCAGAGATCAATCCATATACTGGCTTCACTGAACAACAATAATTAAGCTTCAAAACTTAATAATGCTAATTGGTAAACCCCCTTAGCTATAGAAGGTTCAAAAGGAGTCCATAGACAAGGTGGTAAGAGTTGTTCAATAATAGGTCGATCAGCTATCAGATATACCATTGATGAGTCAGTCGAATAGCTAAGAAATTTGTTTGAGCCATCATTTTTCTTTACGCAACAGTTGCAACAACCGTGAAGACCCCAGATCCTATTTTTGTTCTGCATTTTAGTAGCATAGCAAAGCGTCGCTCTATATATAGGGGTTGGATCCCACAAGTATAACTCTTCACCAACCCTTCAATTTTTTCCAGCATTATAGATCCTCTCCTCCAATAGTGGTTTCTCTCACCAAATGGCAACGAGGGAGATAGGCCCGCCACTTTCGCAGGTGTTACGGCCGTCTAGCAACATCATCAGCATGGTAGGCAATTTAATAACAGCATCCTAATGTTATTTGATCGGTCATATTATTGGGGATGATTATCATTTCTCCATGTTCTTAACTATTCCTGCCCTAGAACTATTGGTCTACGTGCCTTTGTTTGAGCCACATTCTAGGAAAAAATGCATTATTTATGTCAAATCAATGTGAAATGTGTGGTTAAAAAATAAGAAAAAAATTTAAATTTGCGTGTAATATTATTTTATTGGAAAATGTGTGGTTGAAATGATGTTAAATCATTGTTGAAAAATGTATTTTTTTTAAAAATAATGTGGCTCAAACAAACTATATTCAATAAGAAAAGTGTATGAGGTGCCATTCAGAATCTAAAAATTAAAATTTAGTAATTTATGCTGTTTTGATTAGGAATCATGAGTTGTTTAATTTAAACCTATGCAAAGTTTTATATCTAGTGCTTTTTTTCCTTTATTTGCATCTATTCTAAGCAAATTTTCACTTTTTGTTAAAGTTATACTCAAAGTCTGTGGTAGGGTACACGGGAATACTTAAAAATGAACTAATTTTTCAATTTTTATTCCAAGCAAATCTTCACTTTTGGTCTAAGTTATACTTAAATTCTATGATACGATATACAAGAATACTTTAAAGTGTTATGCTAATATTTAATTGGCGTTTATTCTAAGCAAATCTTCACCTTTGTATAAAGTTATTCTTAAATTCTATTGTATGGTATATGAGAATATTTTAAATGAAATGCTAATTCCAAATGCCACCACTTTCGAATTTCTAAATCTTCACTATGCATTATTTGATTGCTTTTAATTAACCAAATACTGTCTTTAATTTCTTGGGTACCAGATTCTAAGAAATATTTAAAGAACATCTTTAATCTTTATGGATTACTCTTGTCTCCTTAATGTGATACAAGGTTTCGATGCCAAGGGAATCATCAAATAATTGCATTCCTGCCATCTCTACTGACTTGATGAAGTTTATAAATGCTGTGAGGACCATCAATCTGCTAGCATAACTTGCAAACTAGAAAATTTGATAAAAAGACGTGAAATGGCCGACGTGGTAATTTCTTTTGCTGTACAATGCATCATACCAATACTACAGGAAAAGCTGAGAGAGGCGGGAGAAGTTGAGACCGATGTGGATAACATCAGAGATGAGTTGAATCGAATGATGGCATTTCTCAAAGATGCGGATAGTGCAGTGGATAATAGTGACACAGGGATGATAAATTGGGTCAACCAAGTTCGCGATGTTGCACAGGACACTGAGGATGTTCTCGACAAATTTGTACTCGGCTTGAAGAAGAATCGACAGGGCAGTGGGTGGTCCAATCCCGTTCTTCCTAACTTTTTAAATTGCATCGTAAATTTAAGATTCTTTTCTAGGATTGTTTCTGAAATACAAAGCATTAATTCTCGTGTCATCAGTATTGCAGAAGGGCATCGGAGATATTTTGACACTGCAGGAAGTTCAAATTCAAATTCAAATGTTGACACCAGCCTTGACCTTGCATATGATATTAGAGGTGATGCCCTTTTGGAAGAAGAAGTAAATCTTGTAGGAATTGAGGGCCCCAAAAGCGAGTTAACGAGATTGCTCTGGGAAAAAGGTTCCGGACTGAGTGTAATTTCAGTGGTAGGACCAGGAGGTGTGGGGAAATCAGCTCTTGTTAGGAAAGTATATGATGATGCAGCAGTGAAGAAGCAATTCAAAAGTCACGCTTGGATAATTGTCCCTCGGTTATTCGATATAGAGGATATCCTAAAGGACTTGATTCAGCAACTCTTTCGAGAAACCAAGGAAGCATTCCCTGAAGAAATGAACACCATGAATAATATTCAGCTGAAGGAACTGATTAGACTATTCTTACGAGAAAAAAGGTATGTGATTGTTTTTGATGATGTACGGGGCATCGAATTATGGAAGGCTATTAAACGTGCGTTTCCTGACTATTCTTGTGGTAGTCGATTAATTGTAACAACACGTAATACTGATGTGGCTCTCTATTCTGCTATGCGAAATAAGGAGAATGTATATACTTTGAAGCCCCTTCCTCCAGAGCATTCTTTGACACTATTTTGTCAAAAGACGTTTCGAGGGAGTCCTTGTCCTTCCCATCTGGAGGAAATTACTAATAATATCTTAAAGAGATGCGCAGGGCTGCCGATCGCTATCAAGTCTGTTGGTGGAATTCTGGCTTCAAAGAGCCGCAGATTGGACGAATGGGAGAGGGTTTATAAGAGTCTTGGAGCTGAACTGGAAAGAGAAAATAGGAATTTGAATATGATCTTGTTGCTTAGCTTCAATGATTTGCCTTACCATCTAAAATACTGTTTGTTATATATGGCCATATATCCAGAATATCACTTGATAAAGTGTAACTCCTTGATTCGCCTATGGATAGTGGAAGGTTTCGTGAATGAAGAAAAAGAAGGATGGACAGTGGAACAAGTTGCCCAAGACTACCTAAAGGAGCTTGCTAAAAAAAACTTGATCGAAGTGGTGAAGGCTAAAGAGAATGGAAGCATAAAATCTTGCCGCATAAATTACTTTCTCAGGGAGAATCTTCTAAATAAAGCAAAACGTCAAAATTTTTTGATGAAAGTCGGCAAAAATTCCAGTGGTCAATGGAATAGCAAAGCTCGTCGCTTATCAATCGATGGCCCTTGGGAAAACTTTAATCCTCAAATATCTGGCAAAAAACTTCGTTCTTTGCTTACATTTGATGTGACTGATTCGTCTTCAATACTTGAACTACTTAACAGTTGTATGATGCTTAAAGTTCTAGACCTGTCAGGATTACCTCTAAAATCATTTCCAGAGGTAATCACCAAGCTCCTACTTTTGAAATATCTATCTTTGAGGCATACAGAAATTGGATCACTTCCAAGATCAATCAAGAAGCTTCAAGAACTAGAGACGTTAGATCTTAAACACTCACTTGTCACTGAGTTGCCTGTTGAGATCTTAGAACTCCGAAAACTGAGACATCTCATAATATGTCGCTATGTATGCTCTGCTGCACATTCAGATGTTCAAATCAACGTTCTTGGTTTCAAGCTACCAAATGGAATTGGAGCTCTAAAGTCTTTATACCAACTCTCTTTTGTTGAGGCAATCCCTGGCACAATAATAGAGATAGGGAACATGAAGGAATTGAGAAGGCTTTTCATATTCAAATTGGGAAGAGAGGATGGAATGATGGTTTGTTCATCCATTGTAAAGCTCCAAAATCTTCAATCATTAGCCTTGTTTTCAAAGGCAGAAAATGAGATCCTTGACCTGGATCACATTTCATCCCCTCCTGCATCCCTTCAAGAGCTCTCTGTGTCAGGACGTTTAGAAAAATTTCCGTATTGGATAAAATCTCTCAACAACTTGGTTAAAGTTTATTTCAGGTGGAGTCGGTTAAGCGATGATCCCCTTCAGTATCTCCAAGATTTGCCAAGCTTAGTCCGTCTTGAACTTCTTGATGGATATGTTGGTGAAGAACTGTGTTTCAAGGCGGGAAAGTTTCAAAGTCTCAAAAGATTATGTCTTGACACGTTTGAATCTTTGAAACAGGTTATAATTGAGGAGGAAGCAATGCCAAAACTGAAAAGGATAAAGATTCAGCGGTGCCAATATCTGAAAAGTGTTCCATCTGGAATTGAATGCCTTGACAAGATGAAAGTTCTTAAACTTTACTACATGAGCCCACAGTTTATTGAGAAACTGACTGTTGAAGATTTCCATAAAATTGCACACATTCCTAAAGTACGTTTTTGGAAGAATGACGTCACGGAAATGGATGAAGATTGAGTTCTTAATTATCTTTTAGTTAGTGTTTTACTAAATAACATCAGATTTTAATTCCGTTTATATCGGATTAATTCTGAATATTAGGAATTTTAATTATCTAGATTTAGTCTCTCTAAAGATTTTGGTTTTTATCTAGTTTTTTTGGTTATTGCTTTAAATAAGGATTGTAAGTCTTAATGGCAGAAAGTGGATTCCGAATAAATATTTTAGAGTTTGGAATTTTTCAACCTCTTAATTCGTGGTATTTGATATTAAAATCAAGGCGTCCAATTTCTCCATATTCATGTCGAAGTCAAAGAGCTTTGAAGCCTAGATTTCTACCATTTTTAGGAATCAACGAAAATTAAAAGGTGGTTGTGCTGCTGGATTCATTTGGAATCAATGGAACGTCGATAGCATGTTCACATATTATTTCAATCGCTTTCGTCCAAAATCAGAATTTCATCTATTAGAGACCGAGCATCAAATTAGTACCCATAATCGGCTTCTAATGAAACTCATTCAATTTGTTTTAACTTAGAATCTATTGTAGAATGGCCTTTAGTTCATCAAAGCACTGCACAATATACTACAGCGGCTGAATATACGATTTGAGACTGTATTTACGATGTTGAAATAAAATGTACTTCAGTTGTAGTTTTGCAAAGATGATTTAATTATTTTGGTGATTTTTTTTTTTTTTCACAATTTTTGTTAATCAATAATGCATCTCTAGCTAGGTTCTTCTTATTTAACTAATATTTGTCCTACGAAGTTAAATTTTATTAAAAGGCATTAAAGATTCTTCAACTTGTGTTGCATTTAGATGCTCAACCTCTAGAACAGAGCATTTGGGTTCTTAACTCTTCAGTTTTGTTGTGGACCAAGCTCAACCATACTCAAACGAGCTTGTAATCATAAATTAGAATGAAAATAATGTTTTTATTAAAACATATTTGACAAGATGGTACACTCTCTAAAAGATAAGGCGATTTAAAATGTGACAGATTTTATTATTTATTTGTTAGATTTTACCGTAATTAATTTAGAATGTTCTAGGAATACTTGCTCTAGATACACCTGGTATTTCATCGTCATATACTGTGTTGGGATCAACATGGTTAACTTGAGCGTGGACAATTACAGCCAGAGAAAATTTACTATTATGGGAAAGATTCCGGAGACCAAGAATCATTTTTAGTGTGTCCGTGGAAGAGATGTGTTGTAAATTGATCAGAAGATTATGGCAATAATGAAGTAAACAAGAACAAAATAAGAACACATAGATTTTACGTGGAAATCCAAGACGGAAAAAAATCAAGGACAGAGGAGAAGAATTTACTATAATCAATAGCAATTGTGTTTGCAAGATCTCAATACTCTCAACTAATATCTAAAGCTCTCAAAATGTTGTATTTTTTGTTCTATATGACAATACACACCGTTCTGTATATATATAGAAAGCCCTAGAAACCAAATTACAGATGAATATGTGTCCAAAATGAGTTAAAATGTCGCTTGAGAAGCGTCGAGCGACAACCCAGGAGGAGAGAAACTGGCGATATTTTTCTGTTCCGAATTTGACAATTTCGCTTGTATGTCCAACTAATGAAGAGATAGTGAAAATGTAATAATTTTTCCTGGTTCATAAGTTGATTTCTCCAAAACTACTTCAAATTAGAACTCCAATACCCACTATAATTTGGATCACACTACAACAAATCTCCACCTTGAATCAAATTCCAATAAAGGAAACTCAATAAACACCACTCCACCTCTTCCAAACAAGCCCCAGTGGACTAAATCAATGACAAACATCAATTAAGTTTAAGCAATGCTCAAACTTAGTAATGAGAAGTGGTTTTGTAATTATATTAGCAGGATTAATTATCCTCGATATCAACCTTGTTCACTACAATATCACTATGAGCAATTACTTTACATATAAAATGGTACATCATATCAATGTGTTTATTCCTCTCATGGAACATCTAAACCTTATTGAGAAAAAATAGCACTCTAGCTATCACAATATACTTTAGCTGCAAGTCTTAAATGATTTCACCAATTAATCCCCTCAACCACATAGCCTTCTTACAAGCCTTTGCATTTTGCAAAGTTACTTTTCAGCTGATAGCACAACCTCCAAGGATAAACACATACCTTGCAACTGATTTCCTTTTGTCAAGATCCCCTGCATAGTTTGAATTCGCATACCCAATAACTCCATTAGTCTTTTTTACCAAAATGCAAACAAGCATTGTTCGTGAAATTATTTATTCCGATTTTAAATCCACCGCAAGTGTACGATTCATTAACAAGTAGTAAAATGGACTATAAGTCCAAGTATCGATCCCACGAGGATTGAATTAATTCAAATTAATCTAATATGACATTAACCGAAACATGACAACCAAATGGCGATTTTGTACTTTAACTAACAAAATGTAATCGTTGATGCAATTATGGACGAAGGATTATACTAAGTTCAAAATAAATTGGATGCAATTTAACTAGAATTTTATAGAATTAATGGATGTTCTAATACACTAGGATCACGAATCCCCAAGTAATACCCGTTCAATAGTCATTTATGCAAATTTGACACACAAATCCACAAAAGATGAATCGATATTCCTATTTTAATTTAGCAATCTCTCTCGAGCAATGCCAAACCTATCCCAATATATGATTCGACTATATTTCTATGATGAATACTAATATACCGACATGCATTATAATTCACGAATATCCAATGATTCACACAAGGCATAAAGGTATATTTCTATCCTCTATCGGACCCTATGATGATTTATATTATGTCGAACCTATTTTCCTTATTTCGAATGCATAAAACAGGTCACCACAATCATATAATCATGTGCACAATAATTATATGAAAATAAAAATGAAATAAATCAATCAATTCCGGAATTTGTGTTCACATACGTCAAAAATCCAAAACAACAATTAAACGTAGTATTACAAGGTTCATCGATCTCCTAGTAGTAATAAATCTATCCTAACATGCTAAAAAGAACAAAAATTAAAAGTATTTGAAGAAACGACATCACCCGAATCAATCTTCAATCCGATCTTCAATTGGCACGATGTTGTTCTCTTGTTCTCTCCCTTGTTTCTTCTTCAAAATCTCTCAAAAACATGTAAAAACGGCATCCCATTCGTTTTGGTCGATTTTTTGTATTTATAGGACCCTAAAATTGTTGTTTCTATAAGAGTTTCGAAAAAAAAGGAAACTAAATTTTCCCAACTTTTTGTTCTATGCGACCGCATAGAGTAATTCTATGCGGTCGCATAGAAGAAATTTTTCAACCCTTTTTGATTTCGCTATGGTACTATGCGACCGGATAGAGGATAATACTATGTGGTCGCATAGTACTATCAACTGTGGTAGAAATTACGTTTTCGTCCTCCCACTTGCATCCTTCACTCCTTAGCATCTTCTTTTTATTCTTTTCATTTCATCACCCCCACGATATCGTCAATTGGTAATTGGCCTAATTGATTTCTCGATTTGTTCATCGGATCAAATTTTGAATATTTGCACTTTTGGTCCCTGAACTTTCACTTTGTGTCACTTCAGTCCTTTTTCGCATCTTTTCTTCTGAATTTCACTATGTTCATCGTTGTTTTCTACAATTCACAATTTTACAAGAATAAGTCACAATTCAATCATTTTGCTCATATTTAAATCATATTTGTGACCTAAATAAGTGTGCAAAAACACACTTATCAAACCCCCCAAATTTGAACTATTGTTTGTCCTTAAACAAGATAGTGACTTAATTCTGAACAAACATGGCTTAATACCCTGTTGTGGCTCAGGATTGGACTAAGTACTTAAAAATTTATCTGTGCAAACGTGACATCAACCTTTACCTATTTAATGCAAATTGACGTGTGTGTGAATTCATGCCAACATATCAGATTTATGATGAATCTGAGTCCCAACCCCAAGTGGTCAAATATATCCTTACTTGCTCGAGAGATACACAACCCCCAAACTTATTGTTTTCACTCAATTATCCCAGGGTTGTGTTTTAAGGTTAGGAATTTATATAGTTGTAGTCCTCACCCTCTCGTAGTTCAGATTTAGCATTACTATCATAAGTCTACATTTCAAAAAGTGAAGGCTCTCCTAAATTTGATTGCTTTGACACTCAATATCAAACAAGATTACTTGTCTCGCCTCAGAGGTACAATCTCTTCAACCAAATGTCTAAGGGCTTTTCGTCATGTTTTGTCTCTCTTTTGTTTTTTTCACCTTTCTTTAATTCTGATTGATTTTCATCTTCTCATTTGCTTTCTATATAACCCATGTAACGAGCTTTAGGCCGGTGACTCTCAAATCAGTTGGATGTAGGGCATCAGATTTTAAACCCTTACAGGCTTATTTACTCGAGTTATAAAGGCTCGATAAGATGACTTTTTATTAACTTCTTTCCCTCTTTCTTTCTATATGATCCATGTAACGAGCTTTGAGTTGGTGCCTCCCAAACCAGTTGGTTTTAGGGCACCAGATTTTGAAGTATCCTGACAAGCTTACTTACTCGAGTCATAAAAGCATGAAAAGAAGTGTTTTATTCTCACGTATAAAAATTGTGCCCTTTGTCATTTTTTTAGACATTTAGTTTCCAAAACCAACCCCCCAATTTAAGATTTTCACCTACTCTTCATCCCACTGGTCTAGGCAATCCACACAATAAATTTCATGCACGGAGCCTCCGCTCATCTCAATGCTTTCCTATAATAGCTCAACTATCACCAAACTGTCTTTAGGTAGTTTATGGCTTAATTCAATAGAGGATTATCATTCTTTTTCTATTTTATGCTCAAAATTCAGTCATTCACCTAATATGTCAAGCATGAGTAGCGTGCATAGATAATGTCAAGTGTTGCATCAACAAGTATCAGTAACAAGTATCAGTTAGTCTAATTAACACCAGATCCAAAGTTTTGTAGTTTAAACTAGTCCAATAATAACATTATAGCGAACAAAG